CACTTGGGTTGTTACCGACATCTGGTGAAAATTTCATGTCATTAGCACCTCTAGTAATATATTTACTGAGAAAAATGTTGACGTGTTTAATACTTATTTTACCCACTGTATATGGCAGTTTTATTTACCACACAAGACAGTTTTTAGAGTCTTCACAACACAAAATTCTAAAAGAAAACATGGTAATCTGTGCTCCAGTTTGTCATCTGAATGAAATTTCTAATGTGTGCATGTTTCACCACACACAGCTTACTGGTTCCTCGAAAACACCTCCACAAGTCCCATCATGCCTAGCTGCACTGTGAAATCTACCAGCTTTAGTCTGACACAGCTGTGAGATTTGCTTCTCAATCTGACCTTGCCGAAGTTCCCCCAGGTGATGGTGACTCTGTTGGGAACACTGGAGAGGTGCAACCAAGGAGTGATGTTTATGGGGCGACAGGGACGACGCGGTTCAACTCCTGGCTTATTGGAAGGGTAATATCCCTGCAAATACACACACAAAGCAAAAAAAAAAAAACGATCAGTCAAAATATACTTTCTTCATCTTATTACCACGTTCAATTATCGATAAAACCTGAGTATTAGAATGCATCACTCAGCACATAAAGCAAAGTATGGGGTTTAAACAGGACGAAATGTCTATCAGTGGCTCAGATGAACATCTGTTAATCTTAAGTTCATGTCAAACAGAAATATGGATATTCTAGTTTTCTTTTAGGTCTTGTGTTGACATCTGAAATAAATACACACACAGAGGAGTCCCCTTTAGTAAGATTAGCATAAACAGAATCATGTAAATTGGTGGGACAAAAGCAACAACTCAAAACAGGCTCCATTAATAATATCCGTGCATTTATTTTAATTTAAAAAAAATCCAACAGTGGAAATAACAAGGAGTAGTAGTAGACATATTTCTCTCTCTTCCTAAGAAATGTTTAATTTTAACCTGCAACAACACAATGCAAACAGAAAAGCCCAGCTGGGATGGGCCTGTGCTACTAACTGGTTGTAGTCATTGTTTATTTTGACAGCACACAGTCATAATGAGAACCTTCCTGTATGTGTTGATTATATAACACTGAATCAGTAGATAAGGTCAGCCAAACTGCCTCTGAATTAAAGAGGATAATTGAGATTATTGCCCTGAAGTGGTTAGCTACAGACCTCAACAAAAAGGATTCAAGTGTTTGAGCAATCATAACGGTTGTGATTTATCCAAACTAGAGGTCGACCGATACATCAGCCGGCCGATATTTGCATTTTTTCTTTGTATCGGTATCGGCTGATATGTCCGTCCGTTCCGCCGATCCATTCTTTGGGTCACGCGAGCGCATGTTGCCGCCCCMTCCCTYGGGGAGAGAGCAGCTGCTAATGTTGTGAGACAGAGTGCTAACAACAATAAGGGTTGAGTTATGAACTGTAAATGTGTTTTAACTGTCTAATTTAGCTGTTTCTGCCCTCTGTCGGACTGTGAGTGGTAGAGAGAACAGCTGTGTGTTAAGTTTCACTTTAAGAACAGGAATGCCATGTTTTACTTTCACTTTGAAGCCGCACTGTTGCTTTAAACAATGCTGGAGCTGCTCACAGGAGGCATAGAAGAACACCTGTATTGTTCTCCCTGCTGGATTAAAATAAAAAAGCTTTCGGTCTTTTCTCGCTGTTAGGTTTATAAGCGCTGCCGTCCACCATGCGAACCAGGCAGACTCCGCTCACATATCACATTTGTTCTGACCGCAGTATAAAAGTCGTGATGCGGGTTTTCTTCGATGTACATTTCAAACTGTCATCTAAAATTAACGTCAGCTGGTTTAAATGCATTTTTTGCCCAGTGTAAAAATCGAGAGCAGACTGAGGCAGAGATGAAGTGAGCGCTGCGTGTGTGTGTGTGTTAAGTCCTTACAAAGTTAGCAAGATGTATCTGTGTGTGTCTCTCCTGTTTCTTTGTGTTCCTCTATATTCATGTTGCCGTTTTTGCATCAAAAATGCTGGGATATTAAAACAGTCATTTTATTTTATGTAAAAAATATATTAATCTGATTAATATTCAAATAAAAACAGAATATTTAGCACTAGATAAAATAAATAATGAATTTTTTTTTTTTAAGAAAGGGCTGAAAGAAGAAATCCTGTGTAGCAGCACTTCATACAGCCTGCATCAGACACGGTTTCATTAATAAATGTTTTGTTTTGTTTTAAATTAAGACTTGTGTAACATTTGTTATCATTCTTATTTTTATCATGTTAATGGAGGAAGAAAAAGCAGTATCGGCTTCAAAAATCGGCCAAAAAAAAAATCGGCTGCACGTATCGGTTAGACTGATGTCAAAAAAATCGGAATCGGTCTTCAAAAACCTGTATCTGTCGATCTCTAATCCAAACACATATTTCTGATTCATGTTGTTTATCAGGCACCATTTTCTAAAAGTTATATAAAACAAAAACATGTTCAGTTAATACTTATGCAACAAAGCTTCAGTTCTTGCCAACAGGTGAACACCTTTTTGAAAATATTTAAAGCACTGTGATAATGCCAATTGATTAATTTAAGTTTGAATTAGTTTCAGTCTTACTGARAACTAAATGTGTGATGAAGTAAAAGCTCATTAGGTTCACACAATATTTTTTAACTCGTTTAGTAATATTTATTTTAAAATAGTTATTAATGTTTTTGTGTGTGCTTTTTAAATAAATAAATTAACAAACTAACATTTAATCAAACCTAAAAGGGTTGAATGAGATGCAGTCAAGATCCAAGGTATAGGTCAAATAAACATCATCAGCTCACATGTTGTATCAAAGGATCTACCAGAATCTTATTGAGAATCTGTAGCATATATCAGAGTGAATCAACTCACCGGTACATGACAGTAGGACTGGTTGACTTTGACAGCAATGTTGGGAGGGTACTGGTCCTCCTGAATGCCAACCGAGTCCGAGTAACAGATTCTGCAAGAAAAAGCAATAAGAGAAAGAATATCACTACATAAACGAGTCCTTCAGGATCAGTCGAGGGACAGAACATTTCAGAAAAACAGATCATCTGGGAACCAACCTGAGAACCACTTGGATTGACCTCATTCCTGGACGAATCTCACTAAAACAGACAGTTCAAACGTTTCAATAAGTATCTGTTTTATACCTCTAAATCAGAATAGCTGTGCAATGTTCTTTGACCCGTTACCTTGCATTTCTGAGCTGATCTGCTTGGTTTGGTGTTAATTCAAAGATGCACTGACTGTCTTGTAGTTTCTCATTGTTATGGGCGACTGTAAAAGAACATTTATTAGAAGTAGCACAGAGGAGGAACTCAATAAAAATGACAACAAAATAAATGTGAGAATTAAAAAACAAAAAGCCAGTACGAAGATCTGTTGGTGGCAGCAGCGTCTCTAAGGTTTGGTAGAAGGGCAGAGGCGCCAGCTTGACCTCCGCTCGAGGCGCAAGCAGTGGTTTGGAAATCCCGTTGAGGTAGTCTGTGCCCTGTGAGGGGGTGGTGGAGCTGCTGAGGGACTGGTAGGAAACTGGGACTCCATCTGGACGCCGTGCTGGCAGCCAGTTCGTTGTTTTAGGGAATCGTGACTCATACAGCTGCCTGACGTTCTTCAGCAGTTCTGGGCTGTATTCTGTCTGCACTAGCCTCAAAGCTCGCCCCACCAGGTCCTGCTTCAGCCCACTTTTGCTGCGACCCATTGAGGCCAGCAACGTCTGTAGGTCTGAGACCCGGAAACTTTTGACCATGTTCTAAAAGAAAGGGATWGAAGGAAACAAGAACATTACAACAGGGATTTTAACTTGTGAAAGCAGTCATWCAACAGTGTACAAAACACTTACTTGGATTTCTTAAACCCAACTGAAAATACAAAACTGATATTTAAAGCCTTTATTGCTCTGAATGTATTTTATGAATTTCACAGATTAGTGCATTMTTATTTTGGTGATTTCAACTTTCAAAACTTAACCTGTCCAGTAGGGTTGGGTAAAAACGTATCGTGTGCAATTAATCGTCAGAAAAACTTTAATCTATTATTTTTTGGCACTTGACGATTAATACGATTTAATGCCACCAGGCAGACTGACTAGAGATTTCTATCAGCACAATGTAAAAGTTGATGTATAGCCTGAAGTCTGTACTGTTGGCACAATTTGGAAGAGATCTGTGCCAARASCAAATCTTTCCCACTAGAGTGATTTAAATTGGTCATGTGACTAGGGCATGCAGGCATCCAGGCTCTCCAGGGGATTGTCATATTAATCGTTATCGGCTAAATACTGCAATTAATCGTGATAAAAAATTTTTTCCAAGTATCGTCCAACACTTTTGTCCAGATAAAAAAAAAAAAAACATTTCCAGAAAAGTTGTTACATTTTCTAAACTGCAAAAAGTTCCCTCTGGAAATGTTCATCTGTTTGAACCCTAATGTATGGGACAACTTTCATTGCCTTTCCTTTCCTGATATTGTATTTACACATTAAATATAGCTTAAAGGTGTAAACAKTAAAGTAAGTTGGATAAGATGTGGAAGTCCTGAGATGGACTTGCGACCTGTTAAGGGTGTACCCCGCCACTCTGACTGCTGGATATGGGCACCAGTGACCCCCGTGACCCTGAAGAAGCGGGAATAGATAATGGATGGATGGATAAGATGAAAGTTTACTACCGTGTTACTTCACCTATCTTTTATATTACACTTTTTAATGATTTGGGATTTGTAAATAATGCCAAGTTAGAAGAGAAATCTGTATCYGTTGCATATTACGTTTCAGCTGCTCAACAGGCTGCAGCTCCTGTTTGATTCTTCTGTTCACACTGCACAACATATATTTAAAAGGAGCAAGGATCTGCAGGGAGGCCAGTCCAGTTTACCTGTTGTGGGGTTGGGCATAATCGTATCGTGTGCAATTAATCGTCAGAAAAATATTAATCGATTATTTTTTGGCACATCACGGTTAATGCCAACAGGCGGACTGACCGCTCGGTGCTCCTCTCTGCTTCAAATGTGATGAATATTTAAAAAAAATGTTCGGTAATTTATTTATCTGTCAACACAATTTAAATTTGATGTATAGCCTGAAGTCTGTAATTTTGACACAATTTGGAACAGATTTTTATGAAGAGCAAATCTTTCCCACTAAATTGGTCATGTGACTAGGACATAAGAGTGTCCAGGGACTCCAGGGGATTAATTGTCAAATTAATTGTTATCGGCTAAACACCACAATTAGTCGTGATTTTTTTTTTTGCCAATATTGCCCAACTAGGGTTGGGTTACTGATGTTTTATATGTTTGTTTCAAGAGGCATGGGCGTGTCGATTCTTTTTGTTATTTCCTGAGTTTGTCCATCACTGCCTGAAACAAAAGGTCTTTGGTGTCTGAATACCTGTCATCAAATCATTTAGGAAATTGTACAGAAGTTATTTACAGTAACTTGTTTGTAATTCTTTGCTTCATTTTGAGTATTTGTTAGGTGTGCAGCTGGTATTAAATTCCAAAAATGGTTACATTTTTTAACAATGAAACTAGTAGAGAAGAACAAACACTGAAACATATTTYATTTCATAAGGYGGCTGTGGCTGAGTGATTAGAAGAGTTTCTAATGAGAGAATGGTCGGTTCGATTCCACTGTATTTGGTCACATGTCCAAGTGTCCTTGGGCGAGACACTGCCTCTGATTTGTGTCTCATCAGTGAATGTGATTTAAAACACYGATTAGYCTCTATAGACTGATTTATGTGTATTAGCTTTGTTAAGAGATCTACTAGTGMTGAATGAGTGTGTGTGTGGATGGGTAAAYGAGGACACAGATTGTTGTGTAAAGTACTTTGAGTATCCTGACTGAAGAGCAAGGTGCTATAAGTACAGTCCATTCATCTTTATATCAGTCTTTTAAATAAACACTCAGGCAAATCAGCAACTAACATTTACAAGATATTTTTTCTGGAAACAAGGTTTCTAATTGACACCAAACTTAAGTAGACCTGTTATATTTACCTGTTGTAGCAGAGTCTTGTAAGCAGTAAACTGTTTCATATTTACAAATATTTGTACAAAGGCCTGAAATTCTGGCTACAATAAAGTCCCACTGTTACTTATTTGAGCAACTTGTGATTGCTTTAAAATTTAAGTTTTCTGCAGTGAAAATTACAATGAACCGTGTGAGTACAACTGGCAAATTAATGCAAGAATATAAACACTACTTAGGGTTGGGCAAAATCGAATCRTGTGCAATTAAGCGTCAGAAAAAACTTTAAAGGATTATGTTTTGGCACTTGACGGTTAATACGAATAACGCCGCCACTCACCAGGCAGACTGAACGGTCAGTCCGTTCAGTGCTCCTCTCTGCTTCAAATATGATGAAATATGATTTTAGAAAAAAGTTCTGCAATTTATTTATCATCAGTCCAGTTTTACTTGGTTTATCAAGACAATTTAAAAATTTATGTATAGTCTGTAGTTTTGACACAATTGGAACAGATTTTTACAGAGAGCAAATCTTTCCCACTAGAGTGATTTAAATTTTTTATGTGACTAGGACGTGCAGGTGGCCAGGGACTCCTGGGGATAATAATCATAATAAACGTTACTGAYTAAAAACCACAGTTAATCAGGATTTTTTTTTCCAAAATCACCCAACCCTACATTACAAAGGCATTTAAACCTGATGAAAAAATCTGCCTAGTAATTTTATAAAGCAATATGTGGTATTCAAAACAAAAAACAAAACAAAACAGTAATTTAAAAAATGACACCACTAATCCAGTACAATTGCAATTAAACAAAAATCACATATTTACGATACCACAGTAATCAGTTCTGGTTAAATCAATCCTAGCATTTTTCCAGTATTGATAGTTTGTTTAGAACGTATGGGCCTGTTCCTAAGCATTGTGATTTAACTTGTGTATTTACTGATGAGCTTGTTTGTATAGTGCTGACAGCAGCAGAAAATAAATACGTTTTTAAAAGAGGCACAATAAAGTCAGCTAAATTACATGCAAAGAAAATGTTCATATTTGTTTAAAAGTTTTATACAGGCAACGCAAACAGACTGTTTACTTCTATTTAGACCCACTTCCTTTACTAATAGTTTAATGGATGTCTCCAATCAATGATGTTACTGAAAACCCAGAGACTTCCTCAGACATCATAAAAATCAATGAGTTGTCCGTTCAAATGTTCTCACCGGAGGCTGATGACGACTCTTATCTTTGTGAGAACTGTCACATAAAGTCAGCAATATAGAAACCAGTTTAGTCTCAGCTAACCTAAAAGTCTCATCTCTACAGACAACAGACTGTCGGTATTCAATCATGGCTACCTAACATATTGACAGGTGCACAGCTCCAATAAAGAAAACCTTTAACTACACGCAGGGTTAATAGTAAAAACGGCGTCTAATGCTGGCAGGCGGRGGRRMAAAWCCCTCATACGCTTGTAATACGGTATCTTTCATTTTCGTTGTCTGTCCTCAGAGCTACTTTGATCAGGCTAGTAAGGTTAGCACTACAGGCTAGTTCCATTCGTCGTGATTACAATGAGCCATATTTATTAGTGTAAACACGCTTGAAAGTGCCCATACACAACCCCTGACCCCTCGCCACCGGAGTTACTTTCAGTTCCCGCTCCGGCGTTCATTTCCCATCAAACGAAAGCCCACCAAGCTTCACCTACCATCGCTTCCACTAGTTCGGCCGCCATCTTCATGCAGCGGTACCGCGAGAGTCAGAAATGACGCCTAGTCATTGACCAATGAAACGCAGAATCTGTTTGATTGACGGGCGATGTTAGCCAATGAAGAGGCATCTTTTCGCAGCATCCAAATCGCTACACTGAGAATGGGCGGGAATAGTGTTTTTTAAAGACACAGTACACCTTTTTAAAAAATACTCACAGGCAGGTCTCCTCTCCAAAATAGGCCTCGGTGTTTATAAATTACACCACGTGTGAAAATTTTTATAAACCTGAGATGTTTTGGCTTTATAATCTTGAGATATTTTGAGTCCATGTCCTAAAAAAAGTGGAAATCCAACTTTGGTGTAAAGCATGGAGTGCCAAGTGGATGGGGTGGCATGGTGCTTTCAAATCCTTTCCGAGCAAAATACTCCTGTTCAGGTCTTACAACCAGCTGACAGGAGAGGGGATAAGGCTTTGTTTGAGTTGGTTCATAATTAAGATGAAAATATGAATCAAATTAAAACAAAAAACACACAGGTCCTTGTACAGGCCAGTGGTAATCCAGTTACAACACAAAGACTGAGCTAAAAGTACAATTTGGCAAAGTATAAGATATATAAGGAAATGGATGCTTCCATTGATGATCCACTCCTGTTTTTCTAAGAACTCCTCTTGTGTGCAAAGAACATCTTCATGGAAACCAAAATCAATAAAGRAAATAGCAGTATCATGTAATAATACATCATGTTTTGTTCCTGCCTCACTTTGGATGTGAACTGTCGACAAAAAAACGCATCCAACTGTGGTATTAATCTGGATAAGTACTCTTTCTGATTACCTTCATGTGTAATTAGAAACTATAACAAATGTAATTTTGTTTTATTTAACTATTTATACATTTTAGCTTACAAATCTCACACTCAAATGCAGCTATGTTGTATATAGACAAATTTATTTATATAATTGTTTATTTGTATGTTCATTAAACCATTTTGTTTTTATTAATATGCTTGCACACAAAATTAGTTGAATACTGAAACTGAAAAAAAAAAAAAACAGGCAGCATAATTGTGCTGTGTGTTTTCTGTGCTTTAGATTTCTTGTTTCATCATTTTAACAGAAGAGGGCAATRTAGTTCATGATTTGAACTAATGCTGATTGAATTTATCAGCTTGGTTGAATTGACTGAACAAAACAAAGCTACAGCAAGTTATAACCTGTGTGCAGTTGTGTGAGTCAATGGTTTGATATTTTAAGTTTATTTTCTACATCCACATGTKTTGAATGTGATCATATGGATAAAATTAAACTTTAATATGTTCCAGAGCTACGGAATCAAAGAGAAATATTTTCCATTTGCTTTAACCCAAAAGCTGAAACACAAGTGAGTAACKTCACTTCACTATCTGATACGTGAATACAAAACTGGCAGAAGATGTTATCTGTAACTTCAGTTGTAAACTTTTAATTAAGTACATTTAAAACAGTTTATGTCTGAGGCAGTGTTGTTGGTCAAAAGCACAACAAACAATAACATAAAAATAAAAAACAGCAGCAATAAAAACCTTGATCTTATTAGCTGTTAAAACCAAAACTAAATAAAAAAGGCAGCAGAGTTCAAAGAGAAAAAACGTGATTTATTCAACTTTTGCGAAGGTTTGAGCTGTTTGCTTTGAATCGAAACAAGTCTTCTGTATTCCATCCGAAACAATAACTAATTAAAGTTATTTTTGACAACTTTAAATTTGTTTAAATTTAAAAGTTTATTTCAAACATGTACAGAAATAAAACAAACAAGCAAACTAACAAAACAATAAAGAGAAACAGAATTCCCAAACAAAGCCAAACAAAATGTTTGAAAAGGATGAAGCAGATGCTTATTTAGCCCTTTTATTTTTAAAAGCAATGCTGTACTAAATTCTAACTTGTGTTTTGCACTTTACATTCTGCCCCAAACACTTCCACTATAAAATGTTGTTTTTAATCGTTTTCTGTAAATCTGCTTCCTTTGATTTCATCATTTAATTTCACATTGTGAAAAGAAATACACATAACACTTTTCGTTAGTCTAAGTGTAGTCTTACCTAAATATGTATTTTCTTCTAAGATTATACTTATCTGCAATATTCTTGAATATCTTCTGGATGTTACCAGGAAGACAACRTTTTTGCTTTAAACCAGAGGTCTATAAAATACTTGAAAGAAATAGCTAAAATTAAACACACATTATCAGAAAATGTCTTTTGTAAAAATTAATTTCACTGATAAGAAAAGTACTTAAGTAAAAGTCATAAAAAATTTCACATTAATTGAGAAATTAAAAGCATTTACACACACTCTAAGAAAATAATTGTTGAATTTACTTAGAAAAACTGGTTTCATTAAATCAAGTTGAGTAAATTGAGCAACTTACACATTTTATTTTAAAGAAGAAATGTGTTTTTTTTAATTTACTCAATTTGGTTTGTGGAACCAGTTGACACAACTTGGTTAAGTAAATTCAACACTTCATTTTTTAGAGTGCATAAACAACTCATTTTATTTGTAACTAGGTGTTAATTTGTAACGTCAAAAAGTAAACATATAAATTTTATGTTTGAATGCAGCAAAATACAAGCAAAAGTTATGACTAAAATATATTTGGTAAAATTACAAATCCTCAAAAAAATAGCTACAACCAAATACAAAATACTAAAAATAAAAAAATATAATCAACTTTTCAAAAAATGTGCTGTAGATGTACTATAC